TTTAAGCTCTTATCAACAAGAGCAAATATCATACCTAGAAAGACAAAAGAAAACAAAAGTCAATATAATACAGTTTAATAGACAAAACAGACCAGCATTAAATTAAGGAAAAATTATATTTATACTATACAAGATTATTTTATAATACTCTCAATTAGTGAACTCTATAAATAAAAGTAAATTTATTAACTTTCATGATATGTTTTACCTGAATATGAGAAGCTATTTTAAGTACCTCAATTAGTAGTCTCTTAGAGATAAATTATGTTTGAATCATCTCATCACTATATTAGATGTATCATGTTCAAATTTTGAAGAATTAATAAATAATATAATGAATGTTTACCAATTTTGTAATTGAAGTTATAAAGACATTTGAAACCCTACTTGGATTTCAAAGTATAACTTGTTCCAGATCTAAGATTCTGTGCTCAAAGTTCAAAATTTTGGAGCATTTTCAATCTTAAAATTAAAAAAAAAAGGCCCAATGTATACATTCAAATAAATTATTCTAAAGAGCATCAAATAAATAAATGTAGCATTATCTGTGTACAATCACCATCCAATGTGTAAAAAAAGAAAACATTCATACTAAGGGGAAATATGATGTGATATAAGGAATAGCAACAGAATGAAAACAAAATGGTTTCAAATTAAAACTCATGGTGTGTCTGCGAAGTGGCAGGATCACATGTCATTGCTGAAGCAGCAATTTCTGCTGGTGCACAGTTTCCTCAAACACTCCTTGGATTGCAAGGATCCAGGAATCCATAGGCTCTTCCTAAAGCTCCTAAAGCTCTGAGAACCAACTGATCCCCTGCTGGTCTACAGCCCCAGGGCCAGACACAGGAGCACAGTGCAGGTGAAACATTCAGGATTGTTGCTGATAGAACATCTGTTCCCTACTTTACCTTCAAGAACCTCAACCACTTAGTGTTGCTCCTGCTGCCAAAATCACCACCCAAATCAGAAAACCACGGAAGATTCTGCCTACACTTTTGGTACCGACTGCCCCAGCCTCTCACTGACAATAGCTAAGTGTGAGAGCCTGCAGGAAGCCAGTGGGCAAATTCAGTTTCCAAGTTATTATAAAAATGTTTAGTAAAAATATATAACTAAAATAATAGAGAGAAAGAGAAGGAAGAAGCAAGAGGAAGGCGAAAACAACATGTGTATAATGTCACTCATGTGTTTTTTCCTGTGATCTGAATCACTTGAAGTCTCAGCACCCCTCAATTCAAAGATGACGAATCAGACTCCAGGTAGAAACCTGGTTTGTCGAGAGTGTCTCAAATTGTGAGCAGAAATCGTGAAGGTGATGCTGTTTACAATTATATCTTAGTCTTCCAAGCATTCAACCCGAGTTTAAGTTGATCATTAAATAACGTGTACTAACTCAACACTACCTTCCCATCTGCTCTGAAGCTTTACCCACTGTAGTGGAATGTATTCTGTCAAGCAGGGAGCCGAAGACTGAAGGCAATGGCGGTGCATTGGGTTAACTGTTTTTCATCCATGTTTGGAAAATGAGACAGAAGTCATCTACCCTCTCCTTCCCACAGTGTGTCAGCTTCATGTCTACCTCAATATATCCTTTCATCTGAGCAAGCCTGCTCCTCCAACTTACCATGAGTATTGACCGTTAAAAAGTACAGAATCAGGAAGGAGTGAACGTTGTTGAAACGCTGTAAACAAGGGAAAACAAAAGGGCCCAAACCAAATGGCCCCTCCGAGGAATCATTGTAATTTGGATCTGATATTTTTTTATCTGGAATATCTCCAAACTTCTTTACTGCAATTGGAACCGTTACCAGGTACGTTTCTATTTTCCTGGATTCCTCAGTTTTCCTGAGTTCATGCCCCTCTACCACGGGCGCCTCCTTCACTTTATCTGAAGTTTTTTTCTCATCCTGGGCCATGGCCTATTCAAAGCAGCTCTGAGGATAATGGAGGTGTGTTTGAGGCACCTGTGTATTCCCTGGGCCCAGTGAGTAACGTTGTCACTGCCACTGGAACCTCTATAGGGAACGTTATTTCCAGTGTAGAGAGCCAACGTCTCTACAAATCTGTTGAGTGACGCTGCAGAAGTTCCAAGCCTTGATTCCATCTTCTCTCTGTCACAGAGATGGAAAGAAGAAGAGTAGGGGGGAGAGGAGAAGAGGAAAGAGGAGGTGAATATTATCAAACAATGTTGAACAAAATGTTGAATAAATAATGAATATTTTTAAAAGAAACAAGAAAAAAATAGACGTGTAAGCAAAGAACTGAGAACTAATCATCAGTATCTCCAGTGTTCCTGTGTGGTGTCTCTACAGCTGGATAATCTTACTTGACAAAATTCATTTAGATTCTATATTAATAAATAAGTGTGTAAATATCAAGAAACATGAGAAGATTTATTCCTGTCCACTGTGATGGAAGAGCTTTAAGAACAAGGAAGAATCAGAATAAAAGATGTCAAGCAATGGCCTTGAATGAAAAGCTTACACTGAGAAATAGTTGTCCTGGAAATTCATCCCCAGCCAAGAGCAGGAAAGCAGGTGTATGTTCTACTATAAATGAAGGAAGGCAGGTGTATATTGTAATGTAAATGAAGGCAGGGGCTACAGAGGAGCACTAACATTCCTGGAGAAATATATCATTTGAGAGAAGGACCATGGTATATGTTATGAAACTTGTTTTATATAAAAATGCAATTTCAGATAATTTTCTTTCATAGGATGAACCTGATTCATGTATAACCCCAAGATATTTTTCCATTCCAGATGAAACTATCTTCTCTCTTAAGATTTTGACATGTTGTCACAACTTATGAAAATTAGAACAATTTTGCCATACAACATGATACACCAGAAAATAACAACTGACTAAATGTAGAAAATTAGAATGCATTCGAAGAATATTATTCCTTCTTACATTAAGAGACTTGATTTTTCATCATTCTCATTATGTGAATAACATTAAATGCCTAGTTTATTATTTGCTCATACTTGGCATAAATACCTTCTCGTATTGCTTCATTATATTAATAAGCATAAATGAAGTAGGGTTCCTAAGGATAAAACATGTGAGAAGGTAAGAATCCTTCTTCTTCTCCCTGATACAACACTCTTCATAACCTAAAGGCAGAAGGAGAAATAAAGCTGTGAAAACAACCAAAGCACTGGACATTTTGTTTTTAGTAATAATATAGAAATCCAAGAGAACACAATTCCTGCCTACCAACAAAAACCAATTGAGATCTTCTAAATTAATATTTGGAGGAGTCCAGCAGAGAGCTGAATTTGTAGTCATCAAGTAAATTCAATCCAAAGGGTAAGAAGCTATTAGAAAACAGTACAGAGCATTCATGTATCTGTTTGTAAAGACACAAAATGGAAAGAACCATGGGAAAATGAAACATGGAAAGCAATTGAAGTTTGGGGTTTTTTTATTCTTATTTTACTTATTTACATTTCAGACGTTATCCCCTTTCCCCATCCCCCCTTTAATTCACTATCCCATTCCTCCTCCCCCTTTTTCGGTTTTATACCATTTAAGTTACCTGCAAGTTTTAAGGTCAGTTCTGGGTTAAAGAACTAGCAATACAATAGATGCAAATAGTCAAGGAACAAGCAAGACAATAAACCCAGATAGTCAAAGAGCAAGAGGGACAATAAAGAGAGTCCCATGATCACTATTTCTAAGGGCTTATCAGGATGACCAAAATATCTGAGCCTACTTTCCTGTCCTAGCCCAAAAATCATTTTCACGCCTGAAGCCAACTTCTTTGTTGTGCATAAGATTTAGATTCCTGCCTGTGAATACTTCTTTGTTCTAGTCTAATGTCAGATTCCTGCCTGCAGCCCATTACCTTGTCCTTGGCCAATGTCAGATTTCTTCCAGGCAGCCCCAAAAGCTCTCCATATCTCCCCCTTTTTATTGCAAAAACCAGACTGAGCCTGTCTTAGGTTGTTCTGACAAGAATGCCTTCCTTGCCCGTCATGGAATATGCATTATCAAGAGCAACGCATTTCTATCTTAGGTTGGTAATGACTTGCTTGTTTAAAATTACCCAAAGGTTTTTGTTTCTTTTTATGAAATATGTTGTTTTGCTGATTTTTTTATTCTGTTTGTCATTTATACATACAAAAGCTACAGTTGTTCTGTATGTGTTTTGATTTTTTATCCTGCAATGATGCAAAAAGTGTTTATTTGGTGCAGAGGTTTCTGGGTAAGGTTTTTTTTTTTTTTTTGAGGTCTTGTACAGAATCTTATCATCTGCAAGTAAAAATAATTTGAATCTTTTTTTCCTATTTAAATACTGTTAATCTCCATCAGTTGTCTTATTGTACTAGCTAAGAGTTCAAGTACTATGTTGAGTAGATATGGAGAAAGTAGACACCATTTTTTATTTCTGATTTAAGTGGAATTGCTTTGAGTTTCTCACTGTTTATGCTGATATTAGCTGGTGGTTTGCTATAGATTGCCTTTGTAATGTTGAGATATCTCCATTGTATCTCTCCAAGAACTTTTATTGTGAAGAAGTGTTGGAAGTTATTAAAGGTCTTTTCTGTATCTAATAAAATTATCATGAGGATTTTGACTTTTAGTGTGTTTATGGAAAAGATTAAATTTATTGAATTCTATATGCTTCCATATCACTGGACCGCTGGGATAAAACCTATATAATCATTTTGCATAATCTTTTTATGTGCATCCCTGTGTGTTCTTGGATTCAGTTTACAAGTATCTCACAGAGGACGCAGATTTTTATTTGGAAATCCATAGCTTATTGGAGGAGCATAATACCCTATGCAGGGTAACTTCAGTTAAAATCTTATATGAATATAGATAGGTAGGTAAATAGAGAAATGATAGATAGAGGCATATAGATATATAGATAATAGATAGATAGATAGATACATAGATAGATAGATAGATAGATAGATAGATAGATAGACTGATGCATACACAACAAGAAATAAAAAGAAGGAAAGAAGAAAGGAAGGAAGCAAGAAAGAAAGAAAGAAAGAAAGAAAGAAAGAAAGAAAGAAAGAAAAAGAAAGAAAGGAAGATAAGTAGATGATATAATGTTTGAGAAAGCCATATGGAAACCTATTAATGACACAAAAAACCCTTTACAATTACTTATCCAACCCATTTTTCCTCTCTCATATCCTACCAACCCTCTTCCCACTTAAATCTTGCTCTCTACTACTCATTTTCCCTCCTTGCTTAAGATCTTTTTTTCCCTCTCCCCAACAAAGATCATTTTCTAGTTTTCTGAATTCTACAGATACTCAAATATTGACACAAAAGTCAAGAAGTTAAGACCTGTAAATGCCAGACGGTGGTGGCATAGGCCTTTATTCCCAGCACTGGGGACTCTGGACTCTGAAGCCAGAGGCATGCAGATTTCTGTAATTTGGAGACTAGTCATATATATGTATGTTTGTGTATGAGTAACAACACGTGATGATTGCTTTTCTGGCTTCTGTTACCTCACTCAGTTTTTCAGATCCATCTATTTATCTTTCAATTTCATATTTCTTTATAACTGAATGAAATTCCATTGTCATATTTTCATCATCTATTAATCAGCTGATAGACATCTACACTGTTTCCATGCCTTAATTATTATCAATAGAGCATCAATGAGCATGGGCAAGTTTGTGTCTCTGTTGTAGAATAGTGAGTCCTTGGGATATAAGTCTAGGAAATATGTGGTGGATTTAATTCTTATTTTCTGAGGAACCACCACACTGGTTTCCATAGGGTTTGCACCAATTTGAACTGCAACCAAATTTTATAAGAGTGGTCAGTTTCCCATATCCTTACTATCATTTGTTATCTTCTATTTTGAGAGTGTGAACATTAGATGATATTATTAAATAGTTTTAATTTGCTTTTTCCTGATGGCTCAGAACACTGAACACTTCTAAAAATACTATGTTTTCCCTCTCTCTACTCCTCCCAGTTCCTTCCCACCAGGACCCCCCCCCCTCATCTAGATCTACTCCTTTACTATCTCTTATTAGAAAGGAACAGGCTTAAAATAGGTAATAATACAGTAAATATATATATACAAAAAACACATTGGAATTGGAACCATTTAACTGAAATATATTTTCAATCATTTCACTCTAAACATTGTTTATCATCATTTCTAAGGTATTTGGTTTTATCATTTGCTTGTTTGTATTTTTCAGTTGGTTTTTCTTTCATTCTTCCTTCCTTCCCCCTTTTTTCTTGACTTTGAGACAATGAACCTAGTCTGCTAGTTCATTTCTTCTGATGGATGAACTGAGGCAAGATATTCAGATTTATTACTGAAAAGTGTACATGATTTCTGTCATTTTGTTGAGGTTTTAAAATTTTGAAAATGTCATTGTCTCCTTTGGTTTAATAAGTTTTGTGTTATCTTTTTGCTTCTCTAGTCATTTGAATGTGTTTATTTCCCTCTACATTTAAGTGTTCCTTCCTCTGTCTTCTGTGGGACTGGCTTAGTCATCCTGAATTCCATTGGTCTGACTTACTCATGTAAAGACTTATAATAATAAGTATTCATTCACAATAATTATGAGAACTAGTTTTGCTGGGCATATTAGCTAGGATTGGCAACATTTCTCAGAATATGAAAGACACCAAACTATTTTTACTTTGATGATTAGGATTGAAAGTCAGCAATAATTCTTGCCTTCATAGTTTGGAATGAAAGATCAGCACTTGATTATAACTTGACCCTTCTCTTTACCATCTCTCAGTATATTTTGTTGTATAAATTAAATAGTTAACATACCATGGGGAACTTATACTCTGCTCCTGTCTGTGTTGCTTCTATGCATGCTTCTTTTCCCCTAGATTCGATAAACTTTTGTCTTTTTAACATTAAAAATATTTTCTGTACCAGAGAGATGGTTCAACTGTTAAAAGCATT